TGAGGTTCTTACCCACGAAAGCTTATACTCCCAGTACTTCTGTTAGTCTCAAAGGTGCCACAGGACCCTCTGCTGATTTTCAGAGGCACTGATCATGCACAACTTGTTTTGAAGCCAGTGGGAATGGCAGGTGCTCAGTTCCTCTAGAATTAATTTAAGTGGCTAATTTTGGAGGTAGGGCCTTCCTTTAGGCAGCCAGGTTTGAACATGTTGATCAATATGTAAAACAAAGGCAAACGGTGATTTTTATAATAGTTGTAAAATTTAAAAACACATTTTGAAGGCGACTGAGTGACCTCGGTCTCATTCTGCTGTTACCAAGGTGCTTTAAATGTCATAAGTCTCTTTCACATAAATTCATAGCAACTCAGAGAAATAACAGTCACCGTTCTGTAACTCCTCGGGCAGCTCAGCCAAAGGACTCGGGGACAAGGCGTGTATCACGTAGAGATGGAGAAGGTGTGCTGGAACCTGTAAGCGCCAGTAGGTGCAAGAGGCATGTGAGTGGGCAGGCACAGAACTGACAAGAAATCCTCCCAAAGTGACCTGGTTTCCAGCCCCGGTGGAAGCAGCTCATGTTGCTATAAGGAATTCTGAAGCAGATTTTTTGGCGGCCTTTCCCGCATCTAAGTCTGGGGTAGCAGGCTGCTAATACCCCTGATTCTCTCCTCTCATTTCTAGCTCTTTGTTGCCTATGGCTTCTCCTGCAAAGAACAGCTGTGGCAGCTGGGTCCATAAGAGTCCAGTGTGGGGAAACAGCAATCCTACCCTGTCCCACTGCTGCTGGAGGGCTGCACAACTACTGGGCCATTGGCTGGTACAAGGTAACCATATTAACCATCCTGGAAAGTCACAACCTTTCTGATCCACAACAAATTTCATTATAAGCTTCTCATGGCCACCAAACCCAGCGCATGTCTCCCTGGGATCCTGCCCTCCCTACATTATTTCACAAGCCGTGAATTGTTGGGCAGATAGGAGAATAGACCCAGAGAGGGACTGTGGCAGTGCTCCTTCTGTCTTATTCCTCCTGACTCCTGGAGGAGGTGGTAGCTCCTCCATGTAGCTGCTGTGGGCTCTCCCTTCAGTGATATTAAAGGCCTCATCTTCATGTCCAGCTTCCAGGTTTGGGGGGGAGGGGGCATTTTAGCACGTTGTCTCAGTTGGGCTGCACCTGTTTCATATGAAAGAAACATTCATTTGCACATGCAGCTCTGCTAGCTGGGTGACCTACTACCTAATTTATACAAGCAAATGGGGCGTCACCCACTTTTATGGTCACAGTCAGCTGTACATGCAAATGTTGGCACAAAAATGGAAGTCAGCATGTTTGGATCTAAGATCTCTGGCAACTGCTCATCCCTGTTCAACATCTGACATGCTAATGGGGCTTCTTTTGGGGCACTGCAGGTAGCCAATGAGAGTCATGAAACGGGGCTGATTCGGAGACATGAGAACAGCACGCATGTGTATTCAGGGACCCAGAGGGAGTTCCTGATGGATGTGCAGCAATCCCTGGTCATTCCTGAGGTCCAGCTGGAGGACTCTGCTGTGTACCGCTGTTCCCTGTGGGCCAGAGTTGGGCATTTCAATCAGCAGGCAGACATTATCCTGCAGGTATCAGGTGAGTTGGCAGCACAATATTAATAGGGCTGGAATCACAGCCAATGCCAAACATCACAGGGATACAAATGAGCTTTCAAAAAAGACGTGGCACAGAGCTTTTGGCCTCCTCCAGCAAAAGGCAATGGGCTAAAGAAACTAGTGAGATTTGGAGTGATAACCCAGATACAGGGGCAGAAAGTACATTGTTCAGTTCATTGTAATTCCCAAGGGCTGGACTGAGCCTTTAACCTCAGCCCTGAGTAGGAGGCAGTATAGAGCTGTGCCTGCCCAGGAAGGACTTGTGATTTGGAGAGTCACCATTCCTCTCCTGCTCCCCCTCTTGCACCTGGGCGGGGGAAGTGAGCTGTGACACCTTTTGAGCATGCAGTTTACTTCCCCCCTCATGCCTGGCCAGGCCAGCCATGACTCTGCCCACTTGCTCCCAGGGGGAGGCTGCTGCCTCTACTCTGCCCCTGCCCTGGACCCAAGAAGGTCACCCATAGGGTGTGAGGCCTTGCCCTCCTGCATAGTCACACAGGACCAGGGTACAATCTTGCCCTGTGTTTATGAAATCGAAGTGCTGCTAGATTCACCTCTGTGTGTGCATTTCAATAAAGAAATGTTTGTTAAAATTATGGAGTTACTGACACTAAGAAAAGCATTTTACAAAGGTTCAAAACTATTAACATGTACAAAAGTGGAAAAAGGATGTAGGCTAGAGATGGTGAGTTGTCGCCAAACACAAGAAGCCTGTGCCTGGCTCCTAGCACTGCAGGACTGTGCCCTCCCAGAGAAGGGCCTTTTGGACTCCTTTGTGGGACTGTCCACCAAGCGACCAAATGCAGCCCTGGTGTAAGTGTGTGCCACGTCATTGAAATCAGTGAGTCACATGTGCTCAGGGCTGAATTTGGCCCAGTGTGTTTGTTTGCTGCATTGCTAACTTGTGAAAGTGCCCTGGGGCAGGCAGGAGGAATTGGATTTGGGTTCCAGGTTATGGAAATGATTGCCTAATTATTACCACCAGTCCCTGAATTCCTATACTATTTGTCAGACAACATACTTGACGGACAGATTAGGCCTGTATAGGAACTTAGACAGATGTCACTTTCCCCAGGATCTATATGCAGCCATGTCTGAGTTAGAAATCTGTACAACTTTCTATTCACCAGTGACACTGCACAACAAATATTGGATTCATCTGAAAATCCAGGTGGGGACTTAGGGAGCCAGACTGTGATTTCCTGCATTGGAATCTGGCCAAGAAACCAAGGCAAACACCCCTGCTCTTGAGAAAAGGGTCCGGGGACCTCTAAGGATGGAGCATGGGTTCTGAACTGCCTCAGAAGGAAGATTATCATCCATGCCACTGCCTGCAGCACCTGGGTTTCTCTTGGAGGTCTCTCATCTAAGCATTGACCTGGCCTGGTCCTACTTAGCTCTGAGATCTAACACCATGCCTCAGTAGTGTGGCTTGGGGCTGGGAAGTCTCAGTACATTGCAACCTGATCACTGTGTGCTATTGCTGGGGTAGTTTGATATTTCAGATCAATAGCTGGGTGTGTCCAGAGTGAGCTGTTATTTGCTGCAGTTCTCACCTCCCAGGGCACCAGCCACCTAGATGGAGCAATTAACTCAATGGTGTTTTCAGTCTAACAACGATGCAGGATAAACAACTGACTGTGGGATGAAAGCCATGAAGCTGCAAGGTGTGGAATACTGGAAATGCAATAGAAGAAGGTGGATCACTCAGTGCTGGCATCAGAATTGAGCCACAGCCGGGAAGAGTGGAGTAAACCTGTACTTAAAACCTGCTTCTTGCAAGGAGCCTCCCCACACAGATTTCCTCAGCAGCCTCCCACGCTGAATCGCTGTCTCTCTCACTGCGTCTGACTGGAAGCACTCTGAGGCAGGGATCTTGTCTTTCTAGGTTTCCTGTGAAGAGCCACAGACTGGTTCAGAGGTATAGAAATAATGTCCAGGTCCATACCTTGCTCCTCGGGGGTCGGGGGAATAAGAACTATGGCCCGGCCAAGCTGCAGCTTTCAAACTTCAGCCATTTCTGGGCTTGGTATCTCCTCTCCTCCTCGTGCCTGGTGCAGCTGTGTCCTGTGCAGGCTGATCGTGAGGACCTCCTGCCATGCTTCACCCCCCATTCTCTCACCCACCCTCCTGTTGGCCAGTTAATTGAGTAGGGAGGTTTTCTCTACTTGTCTGCCCTCAAATGCTCTGGGTCAGAGTCTGACCTGAGTCACACTTGTCTAAATCCAGAGTAACTCCATGTAAATCCGTTAATGTCCCAGTAATGGAAGCCATGGTCTGACCCACTAACTGGTGCAGCTTGGAGACAGTCCATCAGCCTGAAATCACACCCAAGGAAAAGGAGGGTAAGTTTGGTGACAATATATTTAATTTTTAATTGACTCATGAATAACAGCCCGCCAGATCCCCTCGCGGCAGTGAGCGGTGGGGCCACAGATACCAGTTGTGGCAGTTTGTAACTGGAGTGTGGAAGCCCCACATAGATCCCAGCTTTTTGACCCCTTTTCTCCCCCAGCGTGAAGTCCAGCTGTCAGTAGTAGGGGCTGGAGAAGGTCACTTTCTTTTGGTCTGACCTCAGCCCTGGGGTAGAGCTAGCACTGCCTGTCCCTGGCCTTTTGTCTTCTCAGAGTGCTCAACTCTCCCGTCGGTCACATTACCCAGGGGGACTCTGCTGCTGGATTCAGAGCACGGGAGCAGCGTGAGCCCGAATTCCACCTGCTGCTGGGGGAAACCGGTTCCTGTCCTTGCTACTGTCCTGGGGCTGCTGGCTCTCAACTTGGGGAAAGGGCTGCTCAGCCTTGCCTTTGCTCTGGTGAGTCTCTGTGGAGCCAGGAGGGTTTTAGAGGGTCAGCTGGCCTGGGAGTGAAGATGGGAGTTCAAGGCTGCAATTTGTGAGGGAGAGCGCTCATCTCACCCCCTCTCAGAGGGAGTCCCAGCCAAATGACATGAAGCCCCCCTGGGAATGAGTCTCTAGTTCAGGGGTCGGCAACCTTCGGCACGCAGCTCGCCAGGGTAAGCACCCTAGCTAGCGGGCCAGTTTATTTACCTGCTGACGTGGCAGGTTGGGTCGATCGCAGCCCCCACTCGCTGCGGTTCACCGTCCCGGGCCAATGGGGGCGGCGGGAAGCGGTGCGGGCCGAGGGATGTGCTGGCTGCGGCTTCTCGCTGCTTCCATTGGCCCGGGATGGCAAACCGTGGCCAGTGGGGGCCGCGATCGGCCGAACCTGCCGCGTCAGCAGGTAAATAAACTGGCCCGTCCCGCTAGGGTGCTTACCCTGGCGAGCCGCGTGCCGAAGGTTGCCGACCCCCTGCACTAGTTGGTTGGGGCAAGAGGAGGATGCAAGGGGAGCTGCTTACTGATGGGATTTGAGAAAATAATAAACAGGCTGCACTTGGAATCGACCAAGAGCAACTTCAGAGCGAACTGCTCAGCCAACCAGAGATGGTGCCTCCTGGAGAGGGGTGGGAGAATGGCTATCCTGAATTCAGTTTGCTTTCCTCTGTGTGAGAAGGTCTCTATCCCCTTTGAGTTACACTACAGCCAAAGGCGGGTCAGACAGAGGACAAGCCTAGAGGAGAGAGAACAAGTGGGGAGGGAGTCCAGGGTGCTGTGGAATAATCTTGACTCCCACTCAGCAGTGAAACTTTTGCCCTCATTAATCCAGACTCCAAAACCCAGTGGGTTCCAACAGCACACTGGAGCAAAGCATCACCCAGCCTGGAGTACTCCGGGTATGGATGGGCTGAGGCGAGTCTCAGATGGAGAGCCCTGTTTTCCAAAGTGTCCTTTAAAATATTGTAAATGCAAAACTATGCGAATAGCTGCTTGAATATGGAACAACGACATACATGCAAAGGGGACTTGCATTTGCAAATTGGAGAATTAGGCTTCAGCTTCCGGATCTGCCTGTGCAAATGCTCATTGATGTGCAAATAATCTGAGGGTGAGTGGAGGCCAGCTGAAAGTGTGGCCTTTAAGGCTGAAGCTGTAATTTCAGGAGCTAATAACCTCTCGGCTTTAATGATTCTCTCTAGGTGATTGTCGTCATTCTGCAAGGAAAAAGAAGGAAGAAAATAGGAGAAAGCCTTTAATGGAGAAGTGAGAAGACGATGGAAAGAGAGAGATTTGCTTCTTTGACAGAGGACTTGGAACTTGCTTGCAGGAACTGGGAACAGCTGCGTTTTCAGCTTGAACCTTTCGCACTGTAAGTAGGGTCAGAGCTTAAGTGACTCCAGTAGCTTTGAATGACTTGAAGTCAGCTAACTTTACCCATAGCCGCAAGTCTGCTTTTAGGATTTCCTTTTGGAAAACACGGTGTCTGCCTCGAATGTCCCAACTCCAAGCTCGGGCCTTGGGGGACGTGCGCAACGTTTCTATCCAGACACCAGACTCTCACTCCACGCTCGCAGCCGCTTTGAGGCAGTGAGTGAACATGATCAACAGAGAAGAAGCTGGTCAGATTGGAGAAAGAGAGGTACCATCTGCTCTCTGTGGGACGTGGACTCCTGATGTTTTCCTCAGAGTTCTGTATATTGTTTTAAAATACAACCGCATACCATAACTGGTGAGGCAAGGTGTGTGCATGTCTGAGTGCTGATTACTGCGTTCTCCCACTGCAGGAGGACAGCGCTGAGGAGGGACTCCGCTTTGGGGGTTAGTCTAACCTGGCTGGCCTCTGGATTCTCTCAGTACTTTTCTTTCCTAGTATTTTAATACCACTTTCTTTGCGCTGTTAGGTCAAGTCTGTGGATGCTCTGAACGGGTCACCTCTCCCGTCTGTCCCCGAATGGTCTCAGGGAGTGGAAGAAACACACCTAAAGCTCGGAGACCTGCATGGTTGTCTGGGTGCACCATGGAATGCTAGGCAGAGTCGCTATGAATGGCCCTGTTGGTCTAGGTTTGATGGTGCACCTATTGCCATCCAAGTGTCTTCAGACCCCTCTGTTAGACGCATTTGTAGTAGGAAGCCTGTTCCTGGTACAGTGTGCTGTGTGCAAGACCTAAACATGTGGGCAGGGCTCATATTGCCTCACAATTTAAAAAAAGGAAAGAATATAAACCAGGAAACTACAGGTCTGTGAATCTAAATTCAGTTGTCAGGAAAACTCTAGAGACCATAAGCAAGGTTGGGTGGAGGGAAGAGGTTGCAGAGACAGGAATTATTAGCAGAAACCAATTTGGTACATGCCAGAGTGATCTAATCTCCTGTAGGCTCCTGCTGAGGTGAATGTGGATAATGCTTGTTACTGAATGTCCTTCCATGTTGTCTTGGCTCTTTCTCTATCCATTGACTTCAGTTGGAGTTTTGCTTCAGGGCTTCAAGATGTGGCTCTTAGATGTAGGCGTTAGAAAATGTGCCACATAACCTGCCCATGTCAGTCTGGGAGCAGAAGACAGGCAGGTAAGCTGGGTATAGCAGAAGCCTAGCGAAATGGATGTCACTGACAGGAAAAGGCCCTGTAAATGGCACCAGCTCGGAGAGCAGACTGGTCACAGACACTATCCAGAAGATTTAAACCTGTTACAGGAGAGGCTAGGCAAGGGTTGGTGGGCATAGCAGGAATAAATAGGAAGTCATCCACTTGGACCAAAGGATGACTTTGTGGACAAGGAAAGGGACTCATGGGGTTATGTTACCATTGCCATGAAGTGGTTGCTGTTTGTTCAGCTGCAGCCCGAAAGACCAAGAGGATTGTATTCTGCACCAGAAGGAGTATTGTAAAGTAGACAAGACATGTTATAAAGTCCTGGCCAAGGCCAGGGACAGGCCCCCCCTGGACTCCTGCATCCAGTTCTGGGATGAGGGGTGCAGGAGGAGTTCGGGGTGTGGGCTCCGGTCTGGCACCGCTTACCTTGAGCGGCTCCGGGGTGGCAGCGGTGCAAAGCGGAGCTAAGGCAGGCTCCCTGCCTGCCCTGGCCCTGCGCTGCTCCCGGAAGTGGCCAGCATGTCCGGCAGTGGCTCCTGGGGGTGGGGTGCTGCCCTTGCCTGCGGGTACCACCGCCGAAGCGCCCATTGGCCACGGTTCCCCATTCCCGGCCAATGGGAGCTGAGGGGGCGGTGCCTGCAGATGAGAGCAGTGCACGGAGCCCTCTGCCCCTCCCCTCCCCCAGGGGCCGCAGGGACATGGTGCCGGCCGCTTGCTGGCAAGGTGCCGGATCAGGCCCTCAGGCCATAGTTTGCCCACTCCTGCTCCAAGGGGTGGGGAGGAGAAGCTTTTATAGCATTTCAGCACCTCTGAGGGACTTGGGTGAGGAACAGGGACTCATGGAGACTCCTGTCATTGGGGATGAAAAAGAAATGATATTTGCATGAAAAATGCACAGAGGGCTTTTGCTGTTTCCAATCCTCAGCCCAGTGAGGTGCTGATAGAATCTAACTGATTGGGCCTCCAGGGAAATGGGCAGTCGTACGCGTGCTCATGGCTCGTCAGTCTCCTAATCTAGGCACAGCCCAGTGCAAATCAGCATGATTCTTGGGGCTCCAGAAGAAGTCCCCCACAGGTGGCCTTGGTAAAGAACTTGGGAAGCTACTGCCGTCCTCTGAAGCCTGGAGCAAGGACTCTCTGCTGGGCTCAGGGTTATATCCTATGTGACCTGTTCTCTGCGGTCACCAATGGCCCTGAGCATTGGTGGATCTCAGTCCCTCCGCTTTCCTCCTTAGGTTTCTTTGCTTTGTCTTCCAAGGCAATTTCTAAACATGACGAGGTCCTGTTCATATCCTTATTCTGTGTGGGCAGGGACAGATACCCGGAGCTGGCTCCTTAGAATGTGGAATTAGGTTAAAATATGGGCGGTCCTTATAGATCATCTGTGAGCTGCTTCCTCCCACACTTGCACCAGCTCCACCTGGGTGTGACTTTAAATTGCAGCTGGCTCAGCTCTGGGCACTCAGACCCAGCGCTTGGCAGCACCATGAAGTCAAGGGGCCTCTTTCTCCTCCTGGGGCTCTTTACCCTCTGGACGGCGCTACAGGGGGCACCAACAAAAAGTGAGTACAGGCAGAGAAGGGACGAGGGCATGGAGGGGAGACCTGGCATGGAGGGGGCAAGGGCAGTGGGTGCTTGGAAATACCTGACACCTTAGTTGGTTTGTCTCATCAGTGGCCTGACACAGGGACCAATAGAAACCCATCTCCATTGTCAGAGCCACTGCACAGGGGTGGGACTGACCACAGCAAAGACAGGGTGAGGGGACGAAATTCCCTTGGAGCAGCAGAGAGAATTACAGACCAGCTGCACTGGCCACACACTGCGAGTTCCCGAGATGCTGAGTGACAGGCATCTGAGGGCTCCGGCTGGCAGGCTCTGGACTCTTTTAGCTGGAGGCTTTTTATTATCAATATAAGAATATGCAGGCGCCCAAACTCGGCACTACAGAATCCCAAGGACTATGTGATTTGCACTGCTTTATGGGGGCTGGGCACCATGCTCAGACCTAGCATGCCAGCCAGAGCGCCATCATCTCAGACTCGTCAGCCACACTGGCGCCTGGCTCCAGCTCCTGCTGCCTTTGGCACAGAACATCATCCCTAACTGCCCTCCCCAAGTCCCTGGTTGGGAAGAGGCATCTGAGCTGCACCTACCGACGCTCTGATTCTCGGAGAACAGTCCCCAGAAGCTGTGGACATGTAAATGGGTGGGAGGGAGGTAGCCACAATCTGAGCTGGTTGTAGGTTGGCAGGCAGGAGTCAGCGAGAGGGAACAGGGTTGTCTGAGGTTGAGGAACCAGGTACAGACGGGGAGAGAAGAGGGGAGGCTCTACCCATGGGACTTCCAGGCTGTTTCTGCTCTGAACTCTGTTTCTCGTCTCAAACGTGAAACTCAGCAGGGAAGCCCATCAGGAATAGCCTTTTTTGGGCTGCTGGGTGCTCCTGATTCCTCAGGACACGCAGACCTGCTTCCAACGAGCTCTCTTCTTGGCGGGGTTTCTTAACACAGACCAAACCTTGGGGTCCTGCTGGCATTTCAGCAGCCAAACACTAACTTTGCAGGCTTGGAAAGCATCCCCATATGACAGCACACCCAGTGACTCTACTGAGCTACCCCTGAAAAGCCTCTGGTCATTTGCTCAGATCTCTGAGAAAGGGTCTGTTTGGTTTGGAGCATTGTGTGCCGAGTGTCAGCTCAAAGGGGCATTTGGAGAAACAGCCAAAAACAATCTATGCTGCTGTTTTCCCAGCGGGCGCTTTATGCAAAACACTTGATTCCTTCTTGACTGATCAGCTGTGCCCATATTGCTAGGCCCTGAGTTAGCTCCCAGAGGGCAAGAGCTGAAATGTCTCCCTTGACCCAGAGCATGGACCCAGGGAAGGAAGGTCACTTTCCTGTGGCCGAAGAAAATCAAAGGTGGGGATTGCAAAGTCCTAAGTGTTGGAAATGTCCATGCTGTCCCTGTGCTGTGGAGAAATGCCCTGCATCTCTGTGAGCCTGCTACTGCTCCCATTGGAGTCAGCTGGATCAGGCCCTTCGTTGTTCAGCCACGTATTGGCATGTTCCATGTTGACCATCCTGTAGAGTCCCAAAGGCTCGAATTTGATCAGGCTCCTTCAGCCGTGTTTAGGCTCCTAAATAGACTTCCATGGAAGCCGTGGGTTCTCAGCACCTCTGATAATGAGGCCACTTATTTAGGTTCCTAAGTGTGAGCTTAGAGGCCTGGGTTTGGAAATGTGTGGCATTCATTTCTCAAGCAGCTTGCTAAAAATCCATTCCAAGGAGTTTCTAAGGCTCCACATTATCTGTGTTATCACACAGTGTATAGCTATTTGCTGAGGCCACCAACCATTGGATGAGTTGGAGTTGTATGTCTGTTTGTCTAACTGCACCGGAAGAAGGTGGTAACAATAAGAAATCTTTAAATACATCAGAAGCAGGAAGCCTGCCAAACAGGCAGTGGGACAACTAGATGACCAGATTGTGAAAGGAGCACTCAGGGAAGACAAGGCCATTGCAGAGAAGCTAAATCAATTCTTTGCCTCCGTCGTCACTGCAGAGGATACGGGGGAGATTCCCACATCAGAGCTTTTTTTTTTGGGTGACAAATCTGAAGTACCGTCCCACACAGATGTGTCAAGAGAAGAGGTTTTAGAACAAATTGAACATTTAAACAGTAACAAGTCACCAGGACCAGAGGGTATCACCCAAGAGTTCTGAAGGAATTCAAATATGAAATTGCAGAACTACTGTGGTATGTAACCTATCGCTGAAATCAGCCGTTGCACCAGATGACTGGAAGTAGCTAATATAATACCGATTTTTAAAAAGGGCTCCAGAGGCGATCCTGACAATTACTGGCCAGTGACCCTAACTTCAGTACCCGGCAAACTGGTAGAAACTACATTAAAGAATAGACTGACCAGACACCTAGATAAACATGATTTGTTGGGGAAGAGTCAACATGGCTTTTGTAAAGGAAAGTCACATCAATCCATTAGAATTCTTTGTGGGTGTCATCAAGCATGTGGATAAGGGTGACCCAGTGGATATAGTGTACTTGGATTTTCAGAAAGCCTTCGACAAGGTTCCTCAACAAAGGCTCTTAAGGAAACTAA